ATATGCCATTGTTACAGGTTGCGAAAGGAACACAGCCAGACAGCTCACTTCGACGATATTTTCTTCTGGCCACATTAAGTCGAGCTGCTCTCACCAGCCACAGACCTCGGTAAGAGTCTTACCTTGCTCTCCTCATTCACATGTGCGGCGCGCCCTGCCTCTCCGAGTTACTCTGGCAGCTGGCTTTTCGACGCCCCATGGGCCACCCCAACACCTGTCCCGGGGGTTTGGGAACTTGTAGATCGCCAGATCTTTCAGCTCGCATCTGTCGGCGGGGCGTGTACGCATTCATCCTTCACATTAACTGACGAATGCGTCGACCCAGGAAATGGTTGTGTTTTGTTCTACCTGTCAAATTATATTTAATTTTAATAAATATTCAGCTTGTTTTATTTCACGTCACTGTCTGCATTTCTCCTTGGGTATACGTTCTTTGCAATTTACTCTCCCACTGGAGCGGCGCCAGTCTGTCCAGTTGCCCGCTCGGGTATTGGCTGAGCACCCGATTTTGCGGACGTTTATTTTCATAGCGAATCACACTTGAATCGAGACAAAATCCAAAAGCCAGTGAGACCGGAAAAAAAAACCCGTTCCGGGCCACCGTTCTCCTGTCACTTTTCCGCATTTCAGTCTCATTTTCCTGCGGCTTGTTGATGGTCAGAGCTGAGATTCGCGGCCAACTGAGGCAATTAGCAAAGCGCTGGTCAACGCCTGCTGAAAAATAAAAGGTGAAACAGGATGAGCCTTTACCCAATGGAGACAAGGATCAGTTGACAAGGGCCATGCTCCAGATTTCTTCAGTGACGTGGTTTCTTTTTCTCCCCTTCGTCCGCCATTCGCTGCAAAGATTCTGACTGAACGTTTCGGTACCATTAACATTGGCTTTGCAAGGACCATGCCCAGCGGTAATCATTGCGTAACTCATACCCAAAATCGACAGCGATCTTACTCCGGTTGGATGTGTCTCTCTCCTTTCGTTTCTATTTCATCTTCCCGTTAAAGTCCACGACATAACACCCCAAGCCACTCGTCTTGTCGATCCCAAACGCTTCAGCTCTCGTGGTTAGGCACTCACCTCCACGCTCTCGCTGCCAGTGAGTCCTCTGTCTTTTGACTCTTGAAGATGCAGCCGAGACAGCCTCGCCAGTGTCTTTATCGCCTTCTCTGCAGCCTTTCTCTTTTTGGCGATTTTGACGGCATCGCATTCCTTCTCCCAGGTCCATGCTGCGTATTTTGATTTTGACAAAAAGCTGATCTCGGGTCTGGTTTAGTTGCAGACCCAAAAAGAATCTTCCGGGCTGTGTTAGAGTTAGGGAGGGTGCGATGCTGACGTACTAGGGAGCAGAGGCACCGGCCGGGGGTGAGTTACCAAACAGGCGTAGCAGGAAAAGTTTTCACGTTGACTGGAGGTCTGGCAAATACAACTGGCCCTGGTTTTGCTAGGGCGATGCGATCTAGATAAGCCTAAAGAGCAGACGGTCAGCGCTCTGGGACAGGACATGCCATCGAGCCTTCCCAATCACAGCCGGCAGGGTTCTTTCCGGTAAACTGCGAACTCTGCTGCAACCCACGCCTTGCGTGCCGACCACCCACACACGACCAGGCTGCTCTGACGTAGACGCACGGCAAGAGCGATCAAAATGTAGTCGGACTCTCACTGCTGCTTCCCACTTGGTCGGCGGCATCCGGCGGAAAGTGCGTTCACTTGGCCGGTGGAACCCTTGCGAACGGAGAACAACGAGGAAAGAAGACTAGAGACATGGAAAGAAACAACGGTCGCACTTTCTTTCTGTCGGTTTCGCCATTCGTAGAGTAGCAACAAGATAGTTGCCTCCTTTCATGTACTTTGCAAAACAATAAACACCGAGTTGTGTTGTGCCTCATCAGGTCGACAAACACTGCCATACGATGCCATGATTGGACGCACACCGCACGATCCATGCAGCGCTCCTCTCCAATAGCAGGACTCGCCGAGCACTTCTCGACAATCAATGACGCCCTGTTTGTTGCGACGCCTCGCCGCTTTTTCGTCTTCCTCTTTTTTGACAGTTTGCAGAAAAACGTGCATGCAAGTTTAACGACTTTGCCGGCCGGCTACGTGAGCGGACCAGCTAGCCATTTCTGGTCTACCGGGACACGGGACAGGAGACGAAGAACAGCACAGAATGACACAAAAGAACACATAGCAGAAATGAAAGCAGGTGCTACCAAATGGGTCTCTCCCCGGCATTAGCGACTTGCATAACCTAATGGCATCACTACGACGTATTGTGGGACCCTTGGCCTAGCATCTTTCTTTGATGTATCCTGGTCGGGCTGGAGTTGGCCCAGGCTTCTAGCAACTCATCTAGCAAGGTTCTAACAACCGCCGGGGATCCCAACACCGGTGATGTTAAACGTCAAAAGGTAAGAAAATGCGCGCCATTGACGGAGAAAAGACGTCGGCCGAATTTCCGGTAACGCATGTCCAGCAAAAATGGCAGTTTAACCTTTTAACGCGAAGGGCGAAAAGATATGCGGGCCAGTATGGGCAAAAAGAAATGGTCATTCTTTGCAAATTCAGACGAAGGGGTTGTCTCGGTTCCTTGGTCGACTGGGCCATCACGGGGTTGTGACCTCGCCCAGAACTCGGTATCCAACATTGCCAGTTCACCTTCTTTCGCTTCCACCAAACTCTCTCACACGCAAAGAGGCACGTTTGCCGCCGACATCGACGGCTGAACTCCATACTACTCCGGAACGCCCTGCATTCTTGCACACCCCAAACCGGGACACTGTCCGGGATGCATGCCATGGAGAACCGACCAGACTGACAACCCTCAACGTCTTTTTCGTCTCCACGGTTCCCTTCTCCCTCGCATTTTCATTAATCATTTTGTCATTTATTTTCTTTTTAGCAAGGCCTCATCAGCATGCCGCGGTTAGCGAGCTCTGCTGGTTTGGTTCCAGCTGATCTTGTCGTTAGAGCTTGCGCACACCTTCGGCGGCAATCGCCCCTTTGACGCGTGCCGGCTAGGATCTGCCACGCCCCCTCCCAGAGTTAGTTGCTCCACCCCTCCACCATATTCTTCCCTTTCCCACACCCACGATTAACCAAGCACGCCCTGTGTTGGTTTCTACTCCCCACAGACCGTTCGTCACTGTGCATCCGGCTCAAGAAAATTCTTGAGTACGCATCGTTCGGTGCACTATCCCGACAAGTACAAACCTTGTCGGAGTGGCCTAAAAGACGACTAACAAAAAAATAAAAACAGCAGGGACGAAACTAGGGGTCCTGGTAACAAACAAGGAACCAGGTCTATATTTGCCTTCACTGGCAGAAATAGGCAAGTGTTTCGGAAGGCAAAACGGAATATAAGAAAAAGGAAAGAAAGGACAATATAACAAGAGAAGAAAGAAAAAAAGAAACACGCACCGAAGGTTAACAACAGCTGTCCAGGTGCGTTCATATCATTCTCCTTGGCACTGCCTACCTCATGTTGTCTATTGATAACGCTCTTTTGGATATTCTGCCCGTCCGCAACATCGCCGATGGCCTCTATGCACTCCCTCCCGTGATCCTCTTCACCCTGTATCGGTGGTTTCTGACCTGTTCAGTCTGTCTCTTATCCCGTGTGCCGCCCAGCTGCTCCATCCCTAGCGGCAGGCGTTCAGCCGCACTGTACACGGTAGGCACTCTCGGGCTCTCTGCTGCCAACTTTTTGTTTTACACTTCAGAAACGCGTCTGCTTCCTACACGATCATCCAGCTTCGATCCTTCCTTGGCCTCCACTCTGCCGCCCACTCTGCTTTCTTCCTATCGTTCGTGGCCAGCCTAAGCCCTACATACCAGTCCGGTATATCCTACCCATCATTTCCTTGTGAATTGACCAGATCTAGACGTACATGTACTTCTGAGCGTGGCATGAATGTCCGTGCTTAGATGAAGACTCGTTCAACGTCGACTAATCACATATATTTTTATTGTTTTCATTGTTGTCTTGTTATAGTTTTGTTTTTCTATTTGCTAGCTTCGGCCTTCTGCTTTCCCCCTTTTCACCATTTTGGCGCCGTCTCTCGTTAGTCTGCCGCTGCCCTTAACTAAATTCATGTAAGGCAAGAGACACACATTGACCACCACCCTCCTCTGCCATCGACGGCTGCTCTCCCGTCCTGTCAGCCTGCTGGCAGTATATCATCACAGCTATCCCCATCCGTGGTCAACTTTCGTCAATCTTTCTCTATTAATCACATTGCCTTCTGCCGTCCACGGTCGGGTCTTTGCATTTTCATATCTATTGTGAGTTTCGTCCTGTTCCCCTGCCCTTGTTGTGCCTTGTCGCCAGATCGGACGAGCTCTCCTGAGCTGCTGAGCCGTACTATTGCTGCACTTCCTTCTTGTTTGCCTAGCCACGTCGCCGTTTTCATTTGATTTTTTTACAATTGCACCTCGACCGATGTCTACTTATTTGCTGGGCATTTGCACCTTTCGTGCTGGTCGTACACTGTTATGACTAGGATTGCCCCGACATACAGACACACCTCCATGTGCACATACTTACTTGTACATCACAGCAGACGCCGCTGTAGACGCCTGAAGCTGCCAGTCTCAGCCAAGCGAGCGCCCTGTCCTCCTCGTCCGATCCGTGCTATTCAAATTACGACAAGAACTCCGGTATTTCAGCAAACCCACGACCTTGCCGTGGTAACGAATTGAATATTACCCCAGCTACAGCTCTCGACTTTCTTGTACTCGATCCCGGGAACGTGTTTCTGGGAAGCCTTGGCGTCTCGAGATCTCATAAAGATATATTAAAAGAGCCCACCCCGAACATACAGAGCCGCCTAGCCATCACTTATTACGACCCCCTTTTTTGAGTTTCGAACTTCCGATCTCTTGCCGCCTGCAGCTCTTTGACTACAGCCTGCCTATATTGTTCGTTCTCCGTGGATTTTCCCCGGCCCATTTATCACAACATCTATCGGGGGTCTTCGTTACCCGTTGATTTGCATCTGCAATCATGGCGTTCAATCGCGCTGGAGGTTTTTCATTCCAGCAAGAACAGGTAGCAAATTCATCTCCTTATTCAAATGCAAACTCTCGCGCCACCAACCCCGATCGAACCAACGGCTGGCATGCTGCCACCTATTCCTCTTCCTCGTCTGCTACTTCACAGTCTCCCTATTCTTGTTCCTACTCTACCTCGCCAGCTTCTGCCCGGCAGCAGACTTTCACCTACCCGTCACCTCATCCTTCTTCTTCCTCTTCCTCCTCGACGCAAGGGCATAACTTTAACTCGAATTCTTTCTCCCAGCCCTTTGTCGACGCACAATTCGACATTTTCGAATGGCACGTGCAATACCAGTCGTGCATCCGCTACTTCCTTGACCACGCCCAATACTCGGCCCCAGTGCAAGCTGTCGCCGCCTTTGTCAACATCCAGCTGCCCTTTCAACGATCCGTCCACCCTATACTCGTGTCTCCGCCAAGAAACAGCGCTCCTGGTGGGGGTCCAGCCTCGCGGTCGGCCGCAGCGGCAGCTGCCGCAGCTGCTGCAGCAGCGGCCGGCGGGGCCGCCCAACCGGCAGCCTTTGTGACACTCGTGCCCTACATCCGGCGGCTCATCGCGACCGCCTTTGACTTTCCGGCAGTGCTACACGGCTTCTTCGGCGATGATTGGATGGCTGGAATCGGCCCCATCCATGAAACCGAAAGACGAAACTACCTTTTTGCCGCCAAAAGCGATAACTGGCTCAAAGTCAAGGCCGACTACGACATGGACGAGAACCAAACCGTGCCCTTTCTACGGCCGCTGCAGAACGTGTCTGAAGACGAGATTGTCAACGCCGAGACCACATGGAGCGAGTGGCTGGCCATGCAGGACTGGATGCTGGGACCACGTGCGCCCGGTGATGTCGGTAGCAGTGGTGGTAGCATACGCGGTCAGCGTGTCAATATAAAGCGGGAAGAAGACTAAAATGGTCCCCTTTAACGTCAGCAAGTGTGCTTCGATTTGTCGTTTTTTTTGTTTGACAGGGCGTCATACGGAGTACAGCATAGCAAATGGAGAGCAGGTGCTTCTCTCCCCGGCGTGCGGTTTCTGTTCGGGACAGCAGCGATGAAAAAGGAAAACGGAGTCAAGGTAACATTATAGCATGGTTTGTGGGAACCCGTCTGGTCACGCAGTACGACCAAGAAGCAGCAGCGTGGCAGGCGTTTATTTTGGGTTCCTATTTCTTGTTTTAGACGGTTCTTTTCCCTACTGGTTTAGCTGTACCCTCTTGACTGATTGTTGGCGGCATCATGGAATGTATTGGGCTTTTGTTTATTCTTTCTCCCCTACTAGCCGCCCTGTTTCGAGATTTTGGATTATTTTTTTCCTTTCTACCCCCTGCACCTTTTTCAACATAAGACGGACAGAACGCGGAACAGACTGTGACGCAGTTTCCGTATAGGACTAGAGGCCCCAATTATTTTCCGGGAAATAGTCCGAGAACCTTCAATTCGTCGCTTTTACTTGGTACTTCCCTCATCCTTTGACTGTTTGGTCATCTGCGTTTATTCACTCGATTGCTAATCACAGTTAAACGAACCTTCAAAAAGGCACAAAACGACAGAAATGGGATGGATAAATTGAGCATTGAGTAAATGGTCGACTGGAACATGATTCAACAACATCTCATAAGCTTCACCATTGCGGATCCCGCAGCGCAACTGTTCGCGTCGGTACGATATAGTCCGTTCGCATTTCTCGCTGTCCATCATTTCCGCTCTGGTTGTGCATTTGCCTGAGATGGACGGTACGGACGTAAATGGAGGGGGATTGGCGGGACAGGACAAGGGAGTGTTCCTGGGTTGCTGAGGAGCTGAGGCTAGCTGTCTAGCCCTAACACATGTCAAAGCTTGTCAGTGCCACGAGAGCACCCAAATCACACATTGACCACGCCCATGCTCGTTCGAAGCACGGTGACTACAGCCCAGCCATCTCAACCAGTCAGCTGGGATGTAAGATATTGCCATTTTCTTTCTTATTGTCAGAGAGCGAGCCATATCAACAAAACGGTCGTTTTGTCTTGACCTTTACTGCACCTGAATAAGGACAGAATAACTAGAAACAACCAACATCTGAGAATAGAACTGCTGGGGTTGGAGTGCCAAGCGAGGCTTCATAAATACTGCTGTAAGTAATTACGGAGTAGCAACAGGGGATTGTAATTGACCGCTGAAGCGGAAATGACGGGATGTGCACGAAAAAAATGGAGCAGGCACAAAGGCAGTCTGTTAGACAGGCTCCCCTTGCCAACTCAGCCTTGTCCAGGCCACTAGCCACAGCAGCGCAAGCCACATGGCCCGAGTGACCTACAGGGCAGCTGTGCTAGTTCAAGGTACCCCAGGCGCGCCTTCCTTATGCGCGGATTGCAGCGTGCGACTGTTCCATTTGCGCATCGAACCTTCCCAGCGACAACCCCAAATATACTATCGCCCAACAAAGGAAGCGCACCCCGAGGACGACACAACTTTCCCTTTCTGCCTTCCGTCTGCGGCCGAGTTGGATACACCGAACCGAAAGCACAACTATGGGAGCCTTTTGACTGATCGCGCTTTCTTTTTGCGGTTGTTATTCTTGGTTTTCTTGAGCGGTCGATTCTGGATACTTTGACACTCTCTCTTCATCCTCAACACACCATCGCGAGTCGCTTCCCTGTCACGCTTAATCGCTGTCCGACGGTCGACACCGACGACATTGGGCGGCAGGCTGTATTGGTTTTCATTCCAAAGCTATCCCCGACCCTCTCAGGCTCCTATCGATCCCTCCCGATGACGGCCAACTCGGCGGCACCATTGTCGGTCGACTCGCCTCAATCGCCTCAATCGCCTCGATCATCTGGCCGTCATGGCTCTCAGAGCAAGCCCGTCAAGGGCCGGCCGGTAGCCTTGTCCAGGTACCACATCCAGCAGTGGGCGAACTTTATACAGCGCTGTCTCGCGACGCGCCTCGATGTCGACCGCTTTGCTCAATACGCGCCTCTCCAGCAACGAAAACATCCCGTCTCAACCACAGTTCTTGCCGACCTGTTTTTGCGACCACCGGCACCACGCGAAGGGCAAAACGGATTCTCGATGTCGCTGCTCGCGGCCCAGACCTGCTCCAGCCCCATTGACCCGCGCATCCCAGCCTACCTTCAGGTCCTGCTCCAGCTCGGCTATGTGGACGTGCTGTCCATTCTGCGCGGCTTATATCGCTACTCGACATCACAAGGAGCACGGAAAGAGGCAGCCGCAACAGCCGCTGCTATTGGCACGGTACGGGGTAGCAACGGCAACGAAGGCAGCATCCTCGGCGACAGCAAGGGTGCGAATGGTGACGGCGCTGGCGAAGACACAGACATGCTAAACAACGCAAGTAGACGCAGCAGCACAAAGAAGGGCCCTGGCGGCAGTGCTTCTGGTGCTGGACCTGTGCTGTGGGCCAACTCGTACAACAACGAGGAGACGCTGTTCTACCGCATTAGTCGTGCTGTTCGGCAAGAGGATGCCATCCACAGAGGGCGCAAGGCGCTCGCCATTGCGGCGTGTATGGCGGCTTGGATGGATCTCTTTGTCACTGCTGCATCCTCCTACGCGTCGGCGACCCTTGGGCCGGCTGACATCGCCTCCCAACAAGCCCAGCGGCAAGCTGAGATGGAGGCGTCCCGGGCCGCGTTTGCGATGCTGCTCCTGGCCGTCTGCGAGAACGAGTCGGTGGTTGCCGCCCTCGCGCAGCCGTTTGCAAAGGGCGTCCGCAGAGTATTGGCCAACGGCCTCGCCAGCTTCAACCCAACCATCTCGCTCGGTTCGGCGCCCGTCTCCGCACGTCTCGAGCACTTTCGTACCGTGACGCTTGCGCAGTTCGAACCCGCCGACAAGGGCAAGACCAACAAGGGGCGCGGCAAGCAAGAGGAGCAAAATACGGCGACCAACGACATTCACGACCTGCTCGACTCCACCGTGGGCCTGCAGAACTTGGTTGTGCCAGAAATGCCCATTTCCAACTCCCGCGCTGGGCTGTACATCTACCTCAACGCCGTGCTTGTGGGCCGGCCGCTCGTCGACGACGCGACCATTTTCAGCTATCTCAACAACCGCTACCAGGGTGATTTGCAAGCGACTGCCGTCGACCTCATCCTAGCTTCCTTTGACGTGCTTGCCAATGCCGTGTTCCGTAGCGAGGGACAGACGTCAGCGCACCTGCTGCGGTCGTACCTGATCAACAAGGTGCCACTGCTGCTTGCGTCGCTCGCCGCCTCGCCCCTGTATCCCTTTGATTCGCAGTACTGCATCTCCGAGGCCCTGAGTCGCGTCGACACCAATGCCTTCCCAACCATGTCGTCCATGTTCGACGACAACCAGAACGCCAACACCTTTACCGACAGCGTGCGCCAGGACTTTTGCTTCGCGTGTTGTTTGCATGGCCTGGTCCCGGAGGCTAGCATCGAGACCTTGCTCGGTGAGATCACATACCAGAGCCTGCCAACGGGCGGCCGCTACACCAAGGAGCAGCTCGTACAGCAGTGCCTCGCCGACTCGGATTACTTGGTGACCTTGGTCGGCCAGCTCGACAACATGGACGGCAACGTTGGTGCCGTCTGCCAAGCCCTCGTCGCTATGCTCGGCCATCTGTGCCGTACCCGCGAAACGGCTACGCTCAAGACACTGTGTAACCAGCTCGTGCGGAAGCCGCTGGCCTTTGATGTTCTGCTGTTGTTTGAGCGGCCCGCCGCTATTCTTTATCCACTCTGCCAGCTCCTCGATGGCTGGCACTACGACGAGGACCAGGGCGAGTACCAGCCCATCTACGAAGAGTTTGGCTCTGCGCTCTTCTTGCTGCTGGCGTTCGTCTACCGCTACAACCTGACTATTGCCGACCTGGGCATACAGTGGTCGCCCGATTCCTTTGTGGCCCGTGTGCTCAGCACGGGTGCCCAGGGCCGCACTCTCGTGGAACTGTCCGAGCAGGAGCGCGAGAACTTGGGAAATTGGATCCGTGGCCTGTTCAATACGGATGCCGGCGGCCTCAGCGACGACCTTATGTCCTCCTGCCCTCCGCACCAGTTTTACATGCTCACACCGACCCTCTTCCAGCAGATTGTTCAGGCCCTAAGCACGGGTGCCTTGCCCGAAGACGTGCTCAAGGGCGGCATTGAGTATCTAGTGGACACGTTCTTGCTCCCATCTCTCGCCACCGCTCTCGTGTACTTGTCGGATGCGCTCCGCGTCGACAAGCCGGCCGAGCAGAAGGCCATTATCCGCATCCTTCAGCTGATCCTGCAGCCAGCCTCCATATCAGACGAAGCTACACTCATGCTTTCGGCGCTGCTCAACATTGTTGCCAAACCGCTCGAGCATGCCCTGCGGACCTACCAACGCCAGGACCCGCGCAGCCAGGACATTGACCCCTTGCTCAAGGCGCTCAAACAGAACATCCCCCATTCGCGCCGCACAGCGGCGGCCGAGCACAATGAGTTGCTCAACTGGGCGGGCACGAGTGGCACGAACAGCAGTGGCTCCAGCGACAGTGCTAACAGCAATGCAAACAACGGCACCGCCAACAACGGACGTAGCAACTCCGGACAGGGCGGCACCAGCGGTGGCCTCTATGCAGCCATGCGCCAGACCGTCCAAGGCTTTGTGCAGTGGAGCTTGCACCCGGGTGTCAACATTATGCCCACATCCTACACACATCGCCAGTTCCTGGCTGGGCTGAGTCTGGTGGGCGCCTCGAGTGTGCTCCAGCTGATCCTCGACGAAGTCCAGCGACAGACCGACGCCGGCAGCGGCAGCGTTGCATACGACGTCGCGTGCGCCTTGATATGTGCGTCTGACGTCACCAACGAACCGTCGCCGGATTCGCTATATGTGCTTGTCGACGGCGAAGCCAAGGCGCAGGCATCCTCCAACAACAGCAACAACAGCAACAACAACAACAATAACAGCGGCCCGGTCACAGCTGGAAGCACCGTGGCCAACACTGCCGCCGTGCAGCGCCGCATTTCCCTGCGCCAGGCCCTCATGTTCAAGGCCGAGGAGTGGAAGAAGATCCAGAGCTCGCACGATGCAGCTGGCGTTGCCATGGCCGAGGCTGTCGTGCGGTTGTACCGCAAGGTCGAAGCTCAGATGATGCCCCCGCCGCCGCCACCGCCGCCACCGCCTGCGCAAACCGAAATCACAGGTCTCGACGTAGACGATCCGACTGTGGCTGCCGCGGCTGCTGCTGCCGCAGGACTTGATGACACCACGATGGACAGCATGGTCGCTGCCGCCGCTGCCGCAGCAGCTGCCGGGGGCGAATCTGGCGGCGACGCCATGGTGCTCGACGGCGTCGGCCTGACGAGTCTGGATGGTACCAATGTTGGTGGTGCAGAAGGAAATGCAGGTGCGGCCGGCCTTGGTACCTCAGGCGCGGATGGCGGCGGTGGTGCTGGTGCCGGGTCGGCGGGTGAGTTAGGCGACCTCGGCGACCTCGGCGACCTTGGCAACCTGGATGGGTTGGGTGATTTGGGTGACCTGGGTGACCTTGGCATGGGCGGCAGCGGCAGTGGGACCGGCGACGGTAAGGGTGGCTCTCTTGATCTGGGCGATCCGAGCATGTTTGGCGACATGGACCTGCTGAACTCGTGGATTGACTACACGAACTAGATTCTGTGGATGTTCGAGGCAAACCCACGGAAGGGGGAGGTTCTCCGTTTGGGATATGAGGGAGTTCAGAGGAGCAATCTTGTTTCAACGTAGTCTTATTATTTACCTCTATGATTTTTTTGCTCGTATTGTGTCGTTATATACCAGTTCATTTCTGAAAACAGGGACAGTTTCTAATCAGTTCTCATTTGGATTGTTCTTGATTCTAATTTTTCTTTTTCTTTTATACCAGACGCCGAGATGCTATGCTGACAATAAACAGAGAAAGAAAATGCAAACTTGTGCAGACAGATTTTGCGACTACACAGATGTTGTCGTCGATTCCTCGACCGTCTCGTCATCCTCGATGCCATTCCACTCTTCCTCATCCTTTTCTGCGTTGGCATTCCCCGGCGTTGGGAAGACAGCCGATGGCTGGCTGTCGTCTTCGGTCTTCGGCTTCTCCTTGTCCGCAGGCTGTGCCTCCTCCACCGGGGCATCCTTGGTCTCGGCGCTTTCCTGGCTTGCAACAACCTGTTCAAAGCTCGCGTCGGCACCCTTCTCCACGGTACCGTCCTTCCACAGCCGCAAAAGCCGCTCGACCTTGGGCGCCCATACTGTCTCACCCTTGGAGATGTCGTCGTACTCTAGGACATTAGCCGAGCCGACTCGAAAGTCCGACTGTCGTGTGCGCGCAAGCTCAGCCATCATGGCTGCGGACGAGACCTTGACGCCCAGGTCATGGCAGAAGCTGCGGACGTAGAACCCGGAGCTGACGGTCAGGCGAATCCGCGCCGCCGGCGGACCCTTTCCCTCCCATGGAGGCGGCGTGTGGAGCGCAGGCGGTGTCGTTGGAATCAGGTTCGAGCCACGGCCACCGGGCACTTGCATCTTGAGTTGGCGGCCTGCGGCGCCGTCCAATTTCGTGCCAACGACGAGCTTGGGAGACGCTTCCGCCTCGGCCTCGGCCTCGGAGGGGTTGGCACTGCTGGTTTTGTCGTACGGCGACGACGGCAGCTCGCCCAGCGCGCCCGACATCATCAGGGTGTCTTCGCTGGACTTCCTCCGCTTGCCGTGGTGGTCCAGCACAACGCCGCCCGTGCCGCGCCGCCGTTTGCTTGGTTTGTCAAAGACCAGCTCGTCCTGCTTCTCCTCGGCGCGCCGCTTAAAGGCCTCATGTGCCGCGAGCGCCTCAATGTCGCTCTTCTCTTCTTCCGGCGTCATTTTCTTGCCGGTTGCCTGCTCCTTGCCCTGGCGCCAGACCCTCTCAGCCAGCGACTGCTCAGCCATGCCTGCCTCTTCGGCCGGCCAGCGGTGGTCGTGCTCGCCGGGCCCGTACCACTCGACCAGCTCTAGGTCAGAGACCTCAACCTCGCGCGTCTCAATCTCCCGTGGGATGGACAGGCCCTCACGGGCGTACTCGTACAGCGGCTTGCCGTTCATTTTCAAGGCCGAGTACAGTGGCGGCATCTGCCGAAACGTCCCCCGAAAGTCGTTCAGGGCCTCCTCCACTTTTTCTTTTGTGATCTCGTCGTACGGCCGCCGCGTCAGGATGCGGCCCACCCGGTCGTACGTGTCTGTGCTGGCACCGAACAGCACGACAGTTTCGTACGTCTTTGTGCATGTGAGGAACTTGTTGAGTTCCTTGGTGCCGTGGCCGACGCCGAGGATGAGCACACCGGTGGCCAGGGGATCGAGCGTTCCGCCGTGGCCCATCTTGACGCGAGAGTCACGCTTGGCCTTGCTGCGCCGGCGGTGGGCGGCATTGGACTCGCGGGCGCGGATGTCGGCCTCATGTTGGATCAGGGGGCGGAAGAAGCTGGAGGGGTTGAAGTATGTCTGGCAGTCGCGAATAACCTGGGCCGAGCTCATGCCCATGGGCTTGTTGATCGCTGTAGCCATGGCGGTGGTCAGCACATAAAAGTCGACCAAACCCGACGTAAAAGAAGAAGAGAAATTAAACCAAAACGCCTCGAGCCTCTTGGATGGAAACATGTGAGCCAATACAGTGGCAATTCGTTATTTCGTCCCATACATACCAAAGACGCCTTCGAGGACGTTTTGCCGCGCCATCTTGACGAGTCTGTCGAGGCGCATCCGCAGATAACAATCAAAGCTAGGAGAGGCAGCGCCGCGATGCGATGCGACGACACGAATACGATAATGAACACAAAAAAACAGGAGGCCGTTGGACGTAGGGACAAGTCAAGATACGAGGAAGGTACGAAACGGGCAAAGTCCTCAAAAAGGAGGCAGGGCAAAGCGCTTTGCTGAGTCGTCGCTTCCGTCTACACGGCGTGGTGGCAGAAATTTATCGGCAGGCGCTGGCTTCGAAATCTTTTTTTTTCTGCCCCTTTGTCCCTGCCAGATTACCACGTAGATCGCTAGCGCGGTTGCCGATAACAGAAGTTTGAGACTATCTGAGGAGAGCACGACGGACGAGACCAAAAGCGGTCAGGCGGAGAGTCCACAGCACGGCAAGTGCAATGCACTTAAACGCGGGGCTGCACTCTGCTGTGTGTTGCACTTTCCGCGCACGCGCCGCTGCTCTTCGCATTGCCTAATAATATAATGAAGTTATTCGCATTGCCAACTAACGACATTTACTCAACTACTATTCTCACGTACCGCCATGCTCTTACGCTCGTGAGAACAATAGCTGAGGTGGGATCAGCTCATTCCTTTTCTTTCCTTTTCTCTATTCATACTTAGTCCCATCTTTGGCCCCTGCTATACGTTGGCCGCGCTTAGCATCTATTCAGCATCTGTTTTTATTTTGGTCGAACTCTCGGATCTGCTCAGCTTTCTCATTCACTTTGCACTTTTTTGAACGGTCTTTCGTGCCTTCTCGGGCGCGTTTCTGCCGGCTGTTTTGCCATCCAACACTTGACGTGCGTGCGTTGCACACAGCCGTGATGACGCGCTACCTACCCGAGTCGAGCATCCTCAAGCCGAAAGACCCGACGTTAGTCGAGGACGACTGGCCTATTTTTGTGCTTTCGGACGCCATTGTATACCGACCGGATGGCGTGACCTTGGCCAACGCCGTCCTGGTCGCGCAGGAGGGACCTTGCATTGTGCGGGGACGACTCGAGGTCGACGACAAGGAGGACATCCAATATCGTGAGGCTCCAAAGATACTCGTTTCTTTTGTATAGTGCGCATTTGTCCGTGTCTAACTGCCGTTCTCGTTTTCTCAACAGTCGTCAAGCCGACTGTACGAACGGCCAACATCGAGGCCAAAGGCATCGAGAACTACTCCATCGGAGACGACCCGCAGGGTGTCGTCTGGCTGGCGTCGTCGGCCGGCTGGTTCGAAATCAGCCCACATCCTTCGTACGAGCGCATCTACCGATCAATGTGCGACATGACCGTGCTCTACTACATTCTGCTCGGGATCTACATCAAGGCGTGCGAGGGCGCCGACTCGAAGAGCAAGCATAGAATACTTGCCACTCTCGACATCAAGGAAATTCTGTTCGAGTACGCCGTGGCCCTCGGCAACGGAACTACATACGAGGAGGCCGTTGATATGTGCGTGCAGCTGGGCCCAATGCTGCTGGCGCACTTTGCTAGATCCAAGGACCTGGACTGGGTCAAGTCCAGCTTCGCCAAGTGGCTGGTCAAGGAGCTCAAGGACAGGGAGCGGTCAGCGAGGAGCTCTAGCCGCAGCGAGTCTGCGGCTCCGGTGTCATCGCATTCTCAAGTCGGCTTCCAGGCCGAGACACAAGCGCTTCGTCCTGGCACCACCCCCGTGCCGCCGCCGCAGTTACCGTCTGCACCATCAGCACAAGCCGCCACCCCAGGCTTGTCTCAGCAACTGCCGTTCCGTGCTCCGCCCGGCGTGGCGGCAAACGGAAATGGAGGATCGTCCCAGGTATCGCCCGTGCCGTTACCAACGTATGCGAGTCGCGAACAGTCGGTGTCGGGGTCGCCGGCCAGCGCTGTACAGTCAGCCGTGCCCAGGGAGCTGCGAGACAGTGTGTTCAAGGTGTATCTCGAGGTTATCGAAGCGATTGGCGCAGCGCACGGCGATCCAAGGAAAGTCTCTGCCGGAAAGGTGCACTACGGGGTGTTTACCAAATTCAAGGTCCGTAACTACAACCTGGGCAAACACCTCTCCGCGCTCTTCAGCAGTGAGCTGCTTGCGTCACTCAGCGACAGTTGGCATGGCAGCCCCTACGAGGCGTGGTTGACGTCCAAAGAGGCCCTCGAGTTTACGCCGACGTCAGCCACGTTCCTGGCCGACGTGCCCAACCAGCTTGTCCGGCGTGCCCACCAAGCCCCCAGTGCGTCGAGCTCGGCATCCACAGCGCCTTCCTCTGCAAAGGGTCCTTCAACAGCACAGACAAATTCGCCGGTGCTGCCCTCGCCACGCATTTCGGGCAAGCGCGCAGTGTTGCGGCTGCCAACCGTCTCCAAGAAGCGTCGCTTTGAAGGTGCTTTTGGCGAGGGCCGTCCATCCAGTGCCGATAACGGTGATAGTGCCGACGCGGCATCGGCAGCCTCGCGTGGCAGCACGCCGCGGCCGGTCGGACGGCCGCGCAAGACAGCCAAAAACAACCATGACGACGGCGACAGAGCTGCACGGCATCCGTCGTCCCAAGCCATGCAAGTTGATATCAGCAGCGACGACGACAGCAGTAGCAGCGACGACAACAGCGCCGGAGACTCCGACAGTGAACGCCAGAAGAAAGAAACCATACTGGCCGTACGCGCCGAGCCTCTGCTGATCTCGACCAGACCGACCGGGCCCAACCGGACGTGGACCTGCCCGCAGCCGGGCTGCAGCTATTTTGTCCGCGACGCCGGCTCGCCAGACCTGTCCGACAACAGTGACGAAGACGACGATGACGACGGCAGCGACGACAATACAAAGGCCGCTCGCAGCCGCATCATAGAGCACCTGCGCAGTCACGAGAAGGAGATGCTGAGCCGCGTCGACCTGGCGATCACGGAAGGCACGCGTGGACACGTATCGGTTGACCACCTACTCGAGAAGATTCGCACGCTGGCAGATAAGAACAGCCAGCGGACAGCCGCGGCCTCCACTGCATCCAGTACAGCAGTAACGCCGACAGCTGTCACATCGGGCACGAGTTGGCGGTCGCGGTTCTTCTACTAACCTGCCTCGAGTCACGCTGGTTTAAGTCGTATTACAATATAAGCCGACATACAACGAATGATGATGACGGCCACAATACCACTATGAAATGATGCAGGGAACTGTTTAGTCTGGATGATTTTGAGTCTTTGGCGTTTCTCGGGGTTCTAATAGACACTGCATTGGACGCAAATGCCTTCTTCGCATTCTCATGACTTGGTCTTGTAGGGATATCAGTTTTATGGACCCATTTTCCTTCACTCCCTCGCGATTCATTTGTATTCTTCATTTTGTGGTTGACGTAAGGACTGGCGTTAATATATTGGAGTTCTCTTTTTTGGGGGGTATTGGCGCGTCATTTTCGACAAGTTTTTATGCAAGTCAGAATATCCATAATGTTGGTTCCTTAAAACAACCAACGGTTGGCGATGTTCACTTTTTCCCTTTGCCTGTCCCATTCACTCCAGCCTGCCGCCCTTTGGAAACGTTCCTCCCCGCGCTCTACCTACTTTCTCCGGTCAAGGTACTTCTTGGCCCGCTCCCACTCGGCCTTCACATCTCCCTTGATCTCGTCGTCACCGAGTGTCTGCACACCAGCGTACAAGGCCTCGACCAGACCAAACGCAATCTCAATGTCCTCAAAGGGATGCGTGGCGTGCGGTACAAACTTGGCCGGGAAGGCTTGCTTGCGTGCCTCCTTCTCTTCGGGCGTGTTGTCCTCAAAACTCTCGTCCAAGAACGTCTTGACGGCAATGCCGAGCGCGGCGTCCGGGAACTCAATGAACGGCAGGCGGTGGCCAATGTCCCAAAAGTCCGCGCGGTCCCGGTTGGCCTGGTTACTCATAAAGGTCAAAGCCAGCAGGGACTCAATAATGGCGCGGTTGGCCTCGCCCACCGTCGTGGTCAGCGTGTGGAACGCCAGCAGGCTCTTGCTGAGGGGTCCCGTGTAGCCCGAGGTGTCCTGCCGCAGCGGCAGCAGAGTGGCCACGCGGCTGATCAGGACGGCCGCATCGCGGTCCTCGACAGGGCCGTTGGCCGGGTAGCCTTGAAGCTCGGCATGCTGGTTCTTGGCGTTGAGTAGATCCAGACGAATCAGGTCAAAGGCCAGCAGGGCTGCCGCGTGCAGCGACGCTGTGAGCTCGGGGTGCTTCTTGACAACGGGCTCCAGCGCAGCAAACGCTTTGCCGAGGGCAACACCCAACTTGGTCGGCTCGAGCGTCTTGGGCTCAATGTAGCCACGTAGCGTGAGCAGCCTCCAGAGGGTAAGAGACACAATCGTATCGGCATTCTCGACGCCATGGGTCTTGGGCGCCTTGCGAGTTTCGGCCACAAAGTCCTTGTTGCTCAAGGCGGACAGCTCAAAGGCGATGCTCCCCGGAGATGCAGCCGCCGGGGTGTTGTCGTTCCGGGGGAAATGGTTGAGCGACGCGTCTGACGCGTTCCATGCGGCAATGCGGGTGACGGCGTTGTTGTCCTCGCCGCGGTGCTTGAGCTTCAGAGAGAACTTGGCGTCGTACCAGACCTTGAGGTGCATTTCCTGGAAGTTGAAACCCCGGTTGATGCGGTTCAGGATGAGGGCGAGGGCGGTCTCGTAGTAGGGCACGAGCTGCTGGGTGACAAGGGTCTTGTACTCGTCGGCAACGTAGCCGTCGAGGGTGGGAAGGATAGTGACGCGGCAGTATGCAATCCAGCTTGGCACACGCGGGCTGATCAGGCCCTTGTTCAGGTAATGGAAAAGCTCGGCAGGCAGCTGGAAGCCCAAGTACTCGTGGTTGTCACTAGTCAACCGGTCAAAGTCGTTCACGCAGATCTCGCCAGACTCCGCAATGTAGATGAAATGGCTCACGGCCATGCGTGCTTTGCGGTACTTGTCGAGCCACTGGGGGTCCTGGGCTTGCAGCAGGTCGTTGAACGATGCGCAGAGAGATGCCACGTTCTTTTCGGCGGTGCGCAGCATGTTGGTGGCATCCGCCACGCTGAGTGGGCGCGGCGTGATGTTCACGTCGCGGAGCGGCGGGAAAGTCGGCAAGGACGATGTGCCAGTCAGCAGGAGGGCGTCGGTAAACAGGGACTCGCTCACGCCGAGGCTTCGGACCAGCTGCTTCTTCGACAGCGCATGGACGCGCTTCTGGTTCCAGTCTATCGCATTGATAATGCCGTCGTGGATGGGGTAGAGCAGCAACTCTGGTGAGCCCATGATGCCACCGCACTGGTCAGAGTTGATCATGTCAAAATACGCAATCTAGGAGGAGGCGTGTCAGTGCATCAGCGTCGACAGTCAAGTCAGAAGCACCACATTTGCCGCAGATCTGTAGATTTAGGACGAACCTGTGCAGAAGCATTGTAGGGCACGATGAGGAAATGCAGCTTGCGCTTTCTGAGAAGGCGCTGCAGCAGAGGATAAAGTGACTGTGCGCGGAAGGTGGCTGCGTCGTTGCAAGAAGTGTTAGCACAAGCTCTCTCCCCCGTAGGGCCTACGGGGCTGTGGTAAGAAGGAAAGTCAGGGTACGTACAGCCCGTTGCACCAAAAGCAGCGACCGCCTCGCTAGCACTTCCGGCAAAGTACAAATCCCAGGCGGCGTTGGTCCGTTGGATGTCGCGGAGGCCATTCTGAATGGTGACGTCGTCCTGGCCCGCGACGGGTAAGCCCTCGAAGATGAAGAGAGGCGTGACCTTGTGGGCCTTCCATTGGTTCAGTTCGTTCTCCAGGTGCATATGGATGCCCGTAAGACCGGCCAGGGCGCACATGAGCGGCTCATGGGAGGGCGTGTGGTCCAGCATCTGCTGGATAAAATACGTCGCATCAACAGCAATGGCCGAGCCTTCGAGGACGGAGACATCATGGGTCCTGCGGGAAACGGAGTAACGGTCAGCGTGTGGCGAAGAGAGTGCACAAGGAAGGCCGTAGGTCTCTGGCCAGGAATTGTGTCGCACGCACATCATCTGCTGGACCACAAAGGGGTCGTCGGTCAAATTGCTGCCTATTTGGAGAGAAAGAAGGCGACCGGTTAGCAAGAGGGACAAATGACAACAGACGTATATTGCTGCACGATTCAAGACAGCAAGACAGCACAACCCGCTCCTCTCGTCAAATAACATACTCGGCATCTTGGCGTCCTTGGAAAGGTTAACTTTGGGACAAAATAGGAGGCGCCTTGGTTCAGGATGAGGTCGAAAAAGGTAGGGGCAGGCAAATTCTCGAGGCAGCACGTGCGTCAAGAGTTGGTTGCGCCTTTACGGTCGGTGACGGGGGCCTGTTCCAGCTTCTTGTATGGTGACTTAGCGAGAACGCGTCAGAAGCTTATAGTCGATTGTGTCAAAGTCGCAAGTCCGGATTGAAGAGCCTGCGAGCTGTGAAGAGGCACGTTGGATGAGAAGAAGTCGTCGTCGTTGTCAGGAGGCCTTCGTGAGCAGCTGGCCCAGTCGCGGGTATGCGGAGTGGACGACAGCAACACAAAGCACGCACGGCTGGAAGAGCCCGTCTCTCCGTTTTGTCCGGGGTGTTGTTGGAGGAATTGAGTTGAATGGAGGACGGAGGGGAGAAGACGGAGGACGGAGGGCAGAGGACGTTGAGAGCCTCAAAGGCGGCGATGCTGGAAGCAGGTAAGAAACAAAGCTTGGGGTCCAACAATAGCGCTAGACGGCAGGAACGATGGGAAAATTTATGGGGCCAAGGCGGTCGCACCTGCATTTGGTAGGAGGGGGACACAGAACCAGTAGAGGAGAATCAGTGCCCCACTCGCACTGGTTGCACCTTCCTCACTCTGCCCCCCCGTACACAAAATTCTGTGAGACTTCATTGTGTGAGCTGCATCTTCCTCATAACAAAACCAACATTTTGTTTGGCACCTGCTCGACAAGTCCAGAGTTCTTGTTGACGACATCGTTCCTTCTACATCTAAATCGATGCTGACGCTAATGTTCATTGCAGCACATGGCGGCATCGTCGTAAATATATCGTGTAAAGCCAATCGGCAAGTATTGTCGAGCCTCTGCTCACATACTACAATTCACGAATTTTTGCGTCGCACAATGGGGTGACATTATCTGCAGCTACGTTTCATGGCCGTGACACGGAAAATAAAAGGTGCCCGTGGGCGCATAACGCGTTTGATGTAAATAAGGCTTGCTCGTAATTCAGGAAATTCCACGGTGAAACGCATACAGACACTCACAAGCTCACATCAGCAAGACGTTCAATTGAGCTTTTCCTTTTCACACCTAGGGGCTCATTGTAAAAATTAATGCACATTAAATTCAACGAAGAATCGTAGGGATGTCGACGTCGTTGTGCAGCCCATTACTTATTTCACACCTTGAAAGGGACAAGCACAGATGAACAAAAAGAGACATCCGAGAAACCATTTATTTTAGTCTATTTGATGGCATCGAAAACACGCGTTGCGGCGATGCTATGAACCCATTTTCCTCCATATGAATTTCTATAAGTGAGGTGGATAAAAAACGAACAAATGATGCCCCTTTTTTTCCGTTTCGGAACGCGGACATTAAGCACATTCATGACAGTCGTAAAAGCGTAAAACCAGATCAAGGGAGGTGCCCTCTCTCAGACCTATAAAACCGTCGATGCATGCTGTGCATCATGTGCTGCGGGCGTCCCTGTAAACACCTTTCGTTTCTTCTTTTCTTCTTTCTGTCCCATGTCCTGTAGATAACGGACAGACAGATATGCCCCCCTCGTCTTTCAGATTCTATTGGGTATCATAAAAAAACCAGGGGACGAAAAGCAGAAACAAAAAAAACAAGGCAGAATGAGGTCCATCGTTTTTCTTTCACCAGAGTATGCCCTGAATCCGATGCCCGTCCTTCTCCGTTTGTAAGGGTGGGCGTAAATCCGTTGCGGGGGTCTTGCTCGCCGCCGAAGCATGTTTCCGAAAATAAAAGCAAATCGGTGCGAATGTCGCGACGCGTAAAGCGAGATAGGGAACTTGAAATGAGAAAAAACAGTAAAGGCGGAAGAAAGATACAGTTCGCAAAATAGACGTCGAAAAATAAATCAGGGCAGTGGTAGGCGAGGCCGGAGCATGAATGAAAAGCTGCCGCAGTGGGCAGATTTCAGATGCTAATAGTGCTGCTGTGTCGGCAATAAGGACGGTAAAGACGAGACAGATGAAGAACAAACAGGAGAAAGGCAAGTGACAGCGATCAGTACTTGCACCTTTCGCTCCAATGCCGGAAAAGCAGCACTAAGACCGAGTCCTTGATGGAGGAAAAGTTTACCACCAAGACTGGCCGGGGCCGCCAGGGTTGCCGTACGAGCCGCCGCCGCCGCCGTAGCCGCCGCCACCGCCGCCGTAACCACCGCCGTAGCCGGGGTTGGGGGGAGCGCCACCGTAGCCGCCGCCGTAACCACCGCCGCCGTAGCTACCGCCGCCGCCGCCGTTAGAGTTGCCGAAACCGCCACCGCCACCGCCACCGCCAAACTTGCGGAAATCACGGTTAGCACCCTGGTTACGACCGCCGCCGCGGCCGCCGCCACGGCCGCCACGGCCGCCGTAGGAGCCTTCGCGAGCAATGGTCTCCAAGAACGAAGGTACCTCCTGGTTGGCCTCCTTGAGCAGGTCAATGAGCTCACGGACGACACCGCGGTTGCCGCGGTTGAAGAAGGCAGTGGAAATACCAGTGTTGCCGGCACGGCCGGTACGACCAATACGGTGAACGTAGTCGTCAATGTCGGTGGGCAGATCGTAGTTGACGACGTGGGTGACGTTGGGAATATCGAGACCACGGGCCGCAACAGCGGTAGCGACCAGGATAGGGCAGCGGCCGTTGCGGAACATCTCCAGAGCCCGCTCACGCTCGCGCTGGGTGCGGTCACCGTGAATGGAGGTGGCCGGGAACTGCTGGTTGATCAGGAAGTCTGACAGCGAGTCGGCCATGCGCTTGGTCTCGACGAAGATCAGCGTCAGACCACCGCCGTGTGTGTGGAGGATGTCCAGAAGCACAGAGCGCTTGTCGTTGTCCTCGACGTACTCGACCTTCTGGGTGATGTTCTCCGAAGTCGAACCGACACGGCCGACAGACAGGAAGACGTAGTCCTTGAGGAAATCGCGGGCCAGCATCTGGATGTCGCGGGGGAAGGTGGCCGAGAACATCAGCGTCTGGCGGTTGGCGACGGAGGGCATGTCCTCGCCCTCGACGATGCGGCGGATCTGGGGCTCGAAACCCATGTCCAGCATGCGATCGGCCTCGTCGAGAACCAGGTACTTGATGTTACAAAGCGAAATCCGGCCACGCTCGATAAGGTCGACCAGACGTCCGGGAGTGGCAACAAGCAGATCGCAGCCGCGCTCAATCTGACGGAGCTGGGAGCCGATGTCGGCACCGCCGTAGACGACGCAGGGGCGGACCCACGAGCGGTAGGCAAACTTGCGAGCCTCGTCGTAGATCTGAGACACCAGCTCACGAGTGGGAGCCAAGATCAGCGACGTGGGGTACGCCTTGCGCTGGCGGCCAAAGCCGCCGCCGCCCTGGGCGGTAGGGATGGGCGAGGGGCCGGTCTGGAACGCCTGAGACAGAATGGGAAACAGGAAGCCACCCGTCTTGCCCGAACCAGTCTGGGCACAAGCCATCAAGTCACGGCCACCCATGACAATGGGGATGGAGTACTTCTGGACGGGGGTGGGCACCTTGTAGTGGGCCAGCTCGATGTTGCGGATCAAGTGGTCGTCCAGAGGAGGGTTGGTGAAGGTAAGAACAGGCTCAGGGACATCATGACCGGAAGCCTCGACGGGGATGTCGTCATACTTCTCAAAGTTGATGCCCGTGTGCTGCTTCGACGGGTCGTCGGCAGTACCGAACAGCTCGCGCTCGACACGGGGATTCGCAGGGCCAGCAATGTGCTTGCCGTCGCGCCACTGGCCGTCGCCTGAGCCGCGTGCATAGCCGCCGCCACCAGCACCGCCGTGGCCGCCGTGGGCACCGTGGCCATGACCACCACCATGGCCACCATGTCCATATGCGTTGGGGTTGAAGCTCTGAGGGCGATCCCAGTTCTGGCGAGGACCGTTGTTCCAGTTGTTGCCGCCGGCAGCACGGCCGTTGAAGTTCTGCGCGTTGCTGAATTGAGGAGGGCGAATGTTAGCAGCTGAGAATGGATACGAAACATGAAAGAGTCGGCGAGACACAAGTAGGGTGGTGGAGGTGGAAGCTTACTTTGCAGCCCATGCGCTGCCGTTGAGGCCACCGTTGGCGGCATCGGCAGGGGTGGGGCCAGCAGCCGCACCGGCAGGGGTGGGACCGGGGAAGGGGCCGGCAGCGTCAGGGCCACGGGGGGCACCATTCGCTGCAACCTTCCCCCTCATATGGGGAGGAATGTAGGATCGGGGGCCATCGCCATTGAGGTTGAGGCCGTTCATGTTAAGTTGGTCAGCCATGATTGCGATGTTCGGAAAGGTCGTTTTTAGCGGCGTGTCTTCTCGAGATTGCAAGTGCGGATGAGATGGGATCGGCAAGAATGGATGTCGAACAAGGAACGGATGAGGCTTTAGTATTTCGAAAGGCTCTCGAAATGAACGCTGGTGTTCAAAGGAGAGACTGGAAACAGAGCGAAAAGTGATGAAAATTAGGCGCGTCAGAGAGTGGACGACGAAATAGGTAGATGTGAAAAACAGAGAGAGAACAGAAAATGAAAGACGGGCTTCAAACTGTTCTCAGGTGTAGTCGCAGGTGTTCCGTGGATAATTTCTCCCTTCGTTGGCAGAGAAAGAAGAAAAAAAGACGAGAAACAAACAAATTTTTCGAACCTCAAAGAAAACAAAAACGACGTCTTCTAAAGGAAAATGAAAAAGAAAGGACAGACGAAATATAACTTTTGCAGAGTAGTTGCTTCGATCCTCGTGGGAGAGATGGGGTTGTTGAGGGTGGAAAAGGAGAAGGGGAAAGTTTGGGAGAAAGGAGGAAGAAAACGAGTGGGCGATTGTTTTGAAGAAAAAAAAATATTAGGTTTGGCCTGTGTCGGGCGGGCTACGCTCGTAGAAGGCAGGCGAAGAAGCCGCAGGGAAAGAAAATAGGGTGCGCTTAAAGTGGTTAGCCCGGAAATTTCGAATTTTTAGCGACAGGAGCGTGCCTTCCGCACGGTGGCCCGAGTTTGCGTTTGTAGAAGGCACCGTAGCGGTGACGAGTTAGGCGGTCAGATCTACGGACTGCACACGGCAGGCGCAGCTAATCGTTCCAACGTAAGTTACAAAAAGCCACCGTGAAGCAAGAGCGAGCGATACGTATGCCTCGAGGCAGCAGCCCCCAAATGTGCAAAAGCGGGCGATCAATGAGTCGACGCGGAAGGAATCTGGTGAGCGGTCGTATTCTGCTTGTTGTCTTGGACTGGGAAAGTGCCATCAAGCCATTGTGCGAGACAAAAGCAAGGCAGCGCGGCAGGAAGGACCCTGTCGCCAAGGAATGAACCAAACGTTTTTAGAAGGCTTGAGACAGAGACGCGAGAGATAGGATCTCTCCCCAGCGCACCCCAACCTGTCGCCCAGGCTGTGAGCCCCTATTCCCTGGCCGATATGCCCCTGAATTCGGGTGTGTTTACACGCTGCATTGGGGCAGCAGCATCCCAGGAGGCGGCGCACAGTCGCCGTCGCACTGTTTGCCTCTGGTGGCAAAAGAGGTGTAGGCAACTCCGGGGCGGTTAGGCTGTGGAACGCCGCCCATTAGGCGTTCACGGTTGCTGACTAGGCTTAACAAACCCCTGTATTAGTCACTGTGACGATTTGCATGTGTACGTTTTGTGATGTCCCCACGCAGTACGTTGTATGGCGTATCTTAGACTCGCTGACTCTGTGCGTAGCATTGTCTGCACAGAGTCAGCGAGTCTATCATGTGAAGTGCCGTCTGCCGTATGTATTACGTTCGCTTCTCTTGCTCTTGGGATTTCACAACGGTTCCAGCATATCACTGCAACACACATACATTTCCATAGTGAATGGCGAGCCTCAGAGATTGCGACAGACAACCGTCAAAATGAGGAACTCGAGGATAAAAAGAGACGCCTTCATCAGATTTCGGGTACAGACTCATTCGAGACTGACGTCAGGCAGAGCTATCCACTAGCCAAAAGGATGCCCAATATCCAACATGTTATAAAGTCACGTGATCATCTCTGTCTGGCGTCTACATTTCACTCCGTATCTGGGATGAAAATGGTCGAGGTTGGGACAGCAAAGCGGAAGAGACCAATCAAGGACATTATGAAGCAGAGGCTTCAAGACAAGAGACTACTCCCGTCGTCACCGCCGTGCAGTTTAGCTCAGTAGCGCAAATGTATGTTGGTTTTGGTTCTGGGTCTGTCAAGGTGCCAAAGAATGGGATATTGTACAAAGCGTCGCTTCCTGCCCTGGTCTCACCATCGTTGTCCGTTCTCTCCTGCCTGTGAAGGCGCTGCCGCTCCAGCTGGCGCACCATCCGGGCCCCCTCACGGGCACTTGACAACCTTGTCGTCGTCAAACTCAACGTCGACAATGCCGTCCTTGGTCACGGCCTTGACAATCATCCCCTTGAAGTCGATGGGTAACCGCCGCTTGAGCTCATCGGTGCACAAGGTCATGAGCTTGATGCCCTGGCCCAGAGTGATGTCGGGGTGGTGGTGCTTGTCGAGGATGGAGAGGCAGTAGTACTGGGCGTAGCCGTGGGCGGCGTAGGGCACAGGGGCCAGGGCTGCGAGGTAGTCGAGCCAGTAGAGGCTGGGCTTGTGTGTGATGGGATCGACGCCGCCCAACAGCAGGTTGACGGTGTAGGGTTTCCGTGACCGCAGGCTGGAGGCCAGCTCGCCGCGGACAAAGTGGGCAATGGCGGTGGGGGCGAGGTCGGCCTCGTTGCGCATTGTGTAGAGCTGCACGTTGGCCTGGACATACTCGGCGAAGTTGACCGTGTCGCCCGCCTCGCCAGAAAAGGCCATGAGCGTGTGCTTGTTGAGCTGCCGTGTCTTGTCGTCGGTGGCCTTGAGCACGGTGGGGCCGCGTGTCGATGCCTTGGACGCAGCAATCAGGACAAAGTCCTTGCCCGCGATGCCCAGCAGGACATCCCTGACGCTGTTAGCAGTGTTCCGAGATGCTCCCCCAGGAAGGAAACGAACGAAACGCACATTGTGGCTATTTAGAAGCTGTCCAAGGAAGCTGTCCTGGAGGTGTGCGTTTGGGAAAAAGAACCGAGAGGATCAGTTCTCGCGCCCACTGTGCACTGGGCAAATGGTTCGCAAGGGGAAAACTAGTCGTCGGTGATGTGTCTGTAGAGCAATGGAGCGCGTCGTCGTTGCGTCGTTGCGTCGTTTGTGGCCTTGTTGTCGATATGAATTGTGTCGATTTGGCGGCGTTCGCTGTCTTTCTGGGGGAACTGGCACCAGTTGCGAGAACGCGCCATGCAGCTACAGCCTGGCTTGCACTTGGTCCAAGTTGCTGCCGCTTCCCTGCCAGTGCGGTCGCCTGCCTGTCCCAAATTAAGTGGGTCCGAGCTTGTACGGACAATAGTATTACCTGCCGACCTACCTTTGATCGCCTTCCTGCCATCAACGCGGCCAGCCAATGGCCACGGGCGTTCTAGCGGGTCTCTGGGTCTCCACTTTCCTTTTCTTATCGGCGTACGATAAGACCAGCGCTTCATAGTAAAGTGGGGACTTTTGAAAAAAAAGTTTCGAACTGGCAGTAGCGACGGACCTACCGTGAAGAAAGTTTGTTGAAGCAATTGCCAGCCAAATTTTCCCTTTCCCCTTGCAAAGCCTCACTAACGGCCAACTACGCTCATTTGTTTCGTCTCAGAGAGAGGCCACCCATGACACTCCTGCATCTGGTCGAATAGGAAACGAAAAAGAAAAAGAAGAAAAAAAGCTCTCTCTTCAGCAAACGTGGTTGCTTTGCGCAAGCACAAGCACCATGTCGTCTTTCTTCACGGTCCCCGGATCGCAAAAGAAACGGAAACGGGCGACTGCACCCGAAGCTCCCAAGAAGCGAGCTGCTACGACTACCTCCTCCTCCAGAGCCTCGGGCGCGTCGAGAACAGCACACGGTGCTTCTGGCAAGCAGAAGACGGCCAGGTCACGAGACGCCGCCGACTCGGCCTCCGCCTCCACAAAGTCTGGCAAGAAGCCCACGGCACGCAGCAGGAAAGAGGCTGAAGAGGAGGACGAGTCGGTGTCGGGTAGCGACTCGGACGACGACGAATACAATGGCCGGCCACGCGGAGGACGTGGCTCTGACGACGCGGGTGACGACGACGACGACTCGGACGGTGACGAGGGCGAGACCGCTGCCGAGCGGCGACTACGGCTGGCCGAGCGCTACCTGGAGAATGTCAAAACGGAAGTCAAGGGGGCGGCCGGTGCGGATGGCGACATCTACGCCTTTGACGCCGAGGACGTCGACCGTGACCTGATTGCTGAGCGGCTGCAGGAGGATGTGGCCGAAGCCAAGGGCCGCGTATACCGGCAACTGGCCGGCAAACTGGGCTTTACACATGCAGGCCACTGTCTGCTGCGGTGGAACGCCAAGAATGTCAATGCCGTGGCTGTCTGCGCACCGTATGCGTACACCGTGTCTAGCGACGTCTACCTGACCAAGTGGCGCGTCCAGGACCGCCCCGACGAGCAGCGGCGGCAACGAGAAGAGTCGCGGCGGAAGTGGGAGGAGGAGAGGAACAAGAACAGGAACCGGAAGCGGAGCAACAAGAAGAAACAAGAGAAGAAAAACACCGAGCCCGACGAGGCTGTCGAGGTGCCCGCCCGCAAGCAGCCGCAGCGGGTGTTGTTCCGCAGGGGCAATCCAGCGCGCCGCAAGGACAAGGACTACCGTGGCCATGTCGGCGCAATTCTGTGCGTGGCTGCGTCGCAGGACGGCCGGTTCGTCGTGACGGGCGGTGCCGACCGGCGCATGGTCGTGTGGGATGCCCACTCGCTCAAGCCGCTGCGCGTGTTCACGCACCACCGCGACGCCGTCACGGGCCTGGCGTTCCGCCGCGGCACCAACCAGCTGTACTCATGCTCCAAGGACCGCACCATCAAGATCTGGAGTCTCGACGAGCTGGCCTACGTGCAGACGCTGTTCGGCCACCAGGACGAAATCACCGACATCGACGCGCTGGCCCAGGAGAAATGCGTCAGTGTCGGCACCCGCGACCGCACGGCGCGTATGTGGAAGGTCGTCGAGGAGACACAGCTTGTATTCCGCGGCGGCGGAACTGGCGGCAAGGGCTCGAAGAACGGCGACGGCTCGACGGCCGTCGACCCCAACTCGCTCGCCCACGAGGGCAGCATGGACCGCGTGGCCATGCTGGACGACGAGCTGTTTGTGACCGGCAGCGACAACGGTGCGCTGGCGCTGTGGAGCACACAGAAGAAGAAGCCGCTGCACGTGGTGCCGCGCGCCCATGGTCTGGAGCCCGTCCAGACGCACCGCGACCAGTACGACGCCGCCATGGCGACGCCTGCTGCCCAGGTCGCCAACCCGCCGCCGCCGCCGCAGCCGCGCTGGATCACAGCGCTGCGTACCATTCCCTACTCCGACATTGTCTTTAGCGGCAGCTGGGACGGCTGTGTGCGCGTGTGGTGCCTCAGCAAGGACAAGCGCAAGTTGGAGCCGCTTGGCGTTCTTGGTGTCGACGTTTCGTCGAATGCTTCGTCCACCTCCACCGGCTCCTCGCCTTCCAAATCTACCTTTTCGATTCCCGGTGTCGTCAACGACATTGCTGCTTTTGAGCGTGGCGAGCGGGGACGCGATGGCCTGAGTATCGTGGTCGCCGTCGGCCAGGAACACCGTCTGGGCCGCTGGGGCCGGCAGGCGGGTGCGCGGAACGGTGCGGTGGTGTTCGAGGTGGGCCGGCTCGAGAAGCACGCTGCCGACGGCGTGAATGGCGTGAACGGCCATGCCAATGGGGCATCCGATGACGAGGAGGAAGAGTAAGGGGACGACGATTTGGGACGGGCATTGAATCGGATATTTCTCCGCCGGTTTGTTTAAAACAGCATGACTTGAATTGCATAGCCATCTTATTCATTTTCATTACAGAGAGAATATTTGGGGATTTATTTGCTACTTTACATAGGGAATGGCGTTTTCAATTTCGTTTTCTGATTTTAAATTTTGATTTACGAGAACTTGTTGTAAATTTATATCTCGTGCTGAAAAATAAAATGAGTTAACAATAAGGACAAAATCAGTATTAACACAGTTTTACATGCTGTACATACAACATTGACAATGGACAACTTTACAACGTATTTCACTAAAAACAAAGCAATATCATGTAAATGAATTGATAAAGCACGTTTAACCCGAAGAAAAAAAAGAAATAAACAGACTCCAACCCATGCTATGCTTTGCCGTCCGTGGCCGCGGTGATATCAAAGCAAACCAAAGCAAAACGAGGACAGAGAACGCAAGATACATTGAGTGTCCCGTTCCGTAGACCCTTTGATTCTACTAGCTGCGCTTTGAAAATACAAACAAATAAGTCGAAAAAAAAAAGAACACTGTGACATGCCCTAGGAAAGGACGACGACGTGGTTGACGATTATGTTGTGTAGGGGAAAAGAGAAATGTGCAATCCAATGGCGACATGCCTCATACATACCCATCCCCAACATCATTCCTATTCCCAGGTGGACGCGAACGAGAGGTGGCTGAAAATTGCGCACGAATATACGTCTCCTGGGGAAGGCCGAGCATGTGCTGCACCTCAGTCTGAGAATGGCTGGTAAGAGACGGTTGCTCCTGGCTTTGGTTTCGCGCAGTTGGCAGCCTGGGGAGGATCGGAGCCGACTCCGCGAAGCTGCCCATGCCGCCGTAGGCCAGCATTTGCATGTGCCCCGGCCGCATGCCAAAGGTATTGAAGTCACAGACTGCGTCTCTCTTATAAGTGGTGCCTTGGGTAGCAGTCGGATAGACTCTCGGCATCTGCATGGGCGGTGGTGGTTCCAGGGGATTCGGCTGATGCCTTGGATGCGGTGGCTGTGGGGGATGAAACTGGTGATAATGCCGCTGCACATGAGTTGGCTGAGGCCGAGATAGTCGATGTAGAAGCCGTTTCGCCGGTGGTGGCAGCGGCGGAGGAGGCGATCGACGAACAGGATTACTGCCTATGATTTCAAAACCGTCGCTCTCTTCCCCAGACCCCTCATCCGCACCATCAGCATCACGACCTTCACATGGGACGACTGGGTGTGATGGAAGGCTTGGTCGGCTTGCCGCCAACTCCTTCGCTTGCCGGCGCAATAGAAGGCGCTCAGAGGGAGACGGTGGGGACACAGGGCGTCGCTGTCCAGGCGTTACGAACGAGCCTGACGGGAAATGGGGCGTGCGTGGGCGCGCAGCCCATCTTCGCGGGGGCGACACGGGTGACGGTCCCGAATACTGCATGGTTGGCATGGTTTGTGAGGTGATGCAACGCGTCGTTTCCCTCGTTTCCATCGTCCCCATCGGCATCGTCGTCGTCGCCGATTTTGCAAACGTCCCTTCCTAAGGGTGTTGCACAAACATGTTGGGCGATTTGGACCCTTGCTTGAAGGGAGAGCTGCAACCGGCCTCAACAGAACCGGCGGACGCAGTGACTGAGTCGCCTTCGTCATCGCCGTGGCTATCGTTTTCCTTGTGGTCGCCATTCTGGTCTACCTCACTGCTGGGGATGGGCAAGTCAGCCCCGTCCTTGGAAATGCCGTCGCTCCTGGGCGTCGGACGACTAGCAGAAGCTGGAGCAGGTGGAGATGGCAACGGAAGCAACGGCAAGCCCGGCTCTTGGACAGGCGTAGCTTGTGCGTCAGAAGTTTTGCTGGCGCCCGTCGCTGCCGGTACAACGACTGGCGGACTCGCAGGATCCAGCCGCTTCGTAGCTGGCGTTCCCAACTTCCTCTTGGGCTTCCAGTGTGCCTCCTCCGCCGCTTGGTACTCCTTCTGCATGTGCAGGATCAGGTCACGCAGCTGTTTGCGCATATTAGGCGCGGACGTGTCCCAGGTGCGGTTTTGGCGCATGACAATGTCTTCGATAAAGCTGTCGGGGTCCTTGATGAATTCCTGGAGGTAGAGTAGCAGGTAGACGCCACAGTCGCAAAAGTTCTCCTGCTGTGGGATGGCTTTGGCCGTCATGCCGAGGCGGCCCGGATCTGCAGGCTTCACGCCCTTGCGCTCAGCGATCTCGGCCATCATCCACTGCTTCAGATGGTCAACCGACGCCGAGTGCACGCTGCCCAGCGAGTCGAGCGTGAAGATGCGCGGGTCTTTGGGGTCCTTTTTTTTGCCGGGCGGAATAAAGATCTTTTTGCTGTTCAGGGCACCGCCGCCTCGGAATGGCTTTTTGGCAGATGCTGGCTGCGGCGTGGTCGGCTGGACAAGGTCGCTCTTGATCTCCTCGACCTCGTCGTCGTCGGCAGAATCCGCAACGTGGGTTTGTCTTTCATTGGGTTCGTCGTCTTTGATTTCGTGAACCTTGCTAGCGGCCCTGGGACTGCTGTTGGCTGATGCCGGAACTATTGCTTCGTCATCGTCGTTTTCGGCCGACTCGAGCACAATAGGCTCGGTGCGGGATTCGTCTGGCTTGATGTCTGTGCCGTCCAAATTGATAGGGGTGTCTTTTCTTAGCCCGTCGAGGCGTGATGGCGATGCGGAGGGCAGGTTGGTAGCGCCAGCTTCGTCGTTGATCACAACACTCCGAGGTTGTGGTTTGGGCTTGTCGACGTCGATTGGCACAAATCGACGCTCGCCGGTTTCCTTGACATCGTCCGCGTCCGCGTCCGCGTCCGCGTCCGCACCCGCGTCCGCACCCGCACCCGCACCCGGACCCGCACCCACGTCCACGTCCACAGAAACATCCATGTACACAGGCGCTGCCGTGGGCTCTTCTGCATTTTCTGTCACCTCCGGCACGTTCACAACCTCCGAATCATCTGTTTTGGGCAGGGCTGCTTCGAGAATCTTGGGCACGTTGCAAATGATAGCGAGCCACCAGTGGGCGTGCTCGTTGACAGGGACGACAATGTAGTCGTAGGAAAAGAGGTCTGTTTTTGCGGTCCAGCGTTTGACGCCATCAAAGGCAATCTCGCGGCCCCTGCTGGGACGCAGCTTTTCGTAGAAGAAAGTGTTGTGGAAGTAGACACGCGTTGCAATGGTCGACTCGCTCTTTTTGAGGGTGTCCTGCAGGAACTGCATGTAAAAGTTGATAATGTTGTCGTTGAGAAACTCGCCCTCATCAAGGCGAGCTACGTCGTCCTTGTCGACCGTGGTGCGCGAATAGGTCAGTGGGATGCGCCAATCACGGGCCCAGTCGGGGTTCTTTAATGTCCACCGCTCAGCCTCCACGTCCTGCAGGAGGGGCCGAGAGGGCGGCAGTCGCGCGCTTCGGTTCCGCAGCCGTGCCAGCCGGTCGCTGGCCACGTCGGATGATGCTGGTGAGCTGCCAAGGAGACCTGTCCGTTTGTTGTCTGCATTGTCGAGATCGATCGTCTCCGTGGCCTCCTGGAGGTTGCGGCTACTTCGGGTCCGACGGAAAGTCATGTATTCGGTGCTACCGCTACCGTTGCTGTTGGTGTTGCTCACAACTGGCGAAGACCGAGTCGGGGCCGTGGCCTTGGCCGGCGTCGACTCTTTTTGTTCTTTCGCTTCTTTGTGTCCCAGCACCTCGGCTAGGCACTTTTCGAATTTGCGTTTCAGCTGTTCCTGCGATGCCTTCTGGTCCAGTTTGATACTCTGTGACAACGACGAGTTTGCGATCCACGCAGACAACCGCCGCACCTCTTCGACAGTACTGAACTGCACGCCCATCAAGGCACCTAGGCCATCGCCTTGTGGAAAGGTAAAGAATACAATCGGTGAGCCGACGTTAAAAGAGACCTCGCGAGCCCGGATCAAGTCGACCTTGAGCCAGAAGAGGTTCTCGGACCGCGCGCGAGCCGGATCGACAGCGACGAGCACGTCGGGCGACAGGGGCTTGATGGTCAGAGAGAACAGAGCTATGCCTGCATCTGGGTCAGCCACAAAGGCCGTGTTCGGCTGCCGAAATGCGACCTTGACACGAAGTGGCGATTCTATGATGGGCTGGGCCATCAGGGGCACGTCCGTAGATGATCTCTGGCCAGGCGCCCTGGATGCCATGGGCAAGGCAGAAGGCAACCTGGCCGGCTGCCTGTCCTGATTCCGCTGCTTCTGCTGGTCTTGCGCTTCCCGCTCTCGCTGTTGCTGCAACTGAACTTGTCTCCTTCTCTCGGCAGCTGCTCCAGCAGCACGAGCCGGAGGACTACCCAGGTAGATGACTGGATTCCTAGCCGGTTGCTGCCTCTTGGCAGCCGGCTCGGGAAAGAATTCCTGTGAAAGCTCGTCGACCTCCGCGTCGTGCTTCGTACTATTGTAGACGGATGGTGTCGCGTCCTGTCGCCGCGGAGGGCCCATGGACGATTGTGTGCTGCTCATGCGGTCTCGGAAACGTCCCTTTGTGCCCGAGAGGTCGATGGACAGGTTGGTGTTTGGTTTGGCAGGGCTCAGATCGTCCTCGATCAAAAACAGCTTTTCAGTGTGCGCTTCAGTGTCCGGGCTGGGGCTCCTGAGGTTTACGGGACGCCCGATGGCGGCTGCGCCCTCGCCACCGAAGCCGCCCCGTTGCCTGCGCCGACGACGCCGGTTTGGGGTGCCGTTTGTATTGCGTTCCACCTGCCGCAGCTCGTTTTGGTTGATCTGGTTGCTGGTCCGGCTACCGGGCTGGCCGCTAGACAGGACGCTGTCGGAGCGCTGATACAGACTGCGGTCTGGCGAGGATTGGATCAGAATGTCGAGGCTCGTCTCGGATGGCTGGGTGCGCAAGCGCTGCTGGTGACCGCGGGTCGTCGAGTTACGCAGTCGCTGTTTGTCGAGGACGGTCTGGTTGTTCTGCGTACGAATGGCGCTGCGTTTCGGTGGCGAGGCATCATCGTCATCGTGGCCATCGTCGTCATCTGTCCGTCTCCGTTTCGGGGACGGCGGATGTATTTGCGGCGATGCTTGGGCCTTGTCTGGGTGGCGATTAGAGCGATCCCGCCGGAGAAAATTGCCGGGACTGAACTCGCCCAGCCTACTGAGAAAGCTCTGTTATTGTTAGCATTCCGTGTGCAAAGGAGTTGATAGGAAAAGTATAAAGAGAAACAGAGTGTGCGTACACGGCCCATGGGCATTCTGCCTCCTCCAGAACCAGTCCCGCGGCTGGTCTGGACAGGGACGAATGGCGGTGTTGTGTGAGGCTAGGAGAGCATGATCTTTGCATACACAGGTGCAGGCAATGCTCCGGTGCTTTATAATCGAGAAGGTTTGGTGGAAAGATGCGGGAGGAAGAGAGGTCGGTCTGAAGATAAAATGGGATATAAAAGATAAACGAAGCCGAGGAGGACTGCGGGAGGCGCGTAGGTGTGATGCGAGCGCGGCGACGAGCCAGATGATGGGCGGCTAGAAAGTATAGGACAGATAGAAGCGCTTGCCGAGGGATGTATGGTGGGCGTCACGGTAGGAGTGTCGTCGTGGAGGGTGGTTGTAGAAGGTCAAAAGGCTCGCGGGTCGAGGTGAAGCGTTGAGGCATGACTTTGGCGTGTGATTGGATTTTGGCAGGGCCTTCCTCTTTGGGCGTCCGGTAGGGTAGGCAAGGCAGCGGCTACTGGCAAGAGTGGCTGCAGACTTTATGCTGGCTTGTGGGGAAGTCGCGGCTGGCAAACACTGATGCAGGAGCGTTGTGCAGCGGTGACTGCGGCTGCAGCGGCAGAGTGGGGCACGGCCAGGCCTCACCGTACTCCATACAATGGAAAGCTTCAATAGTCGTGAATTGACGGTGACTTTTGTTGGGCATTGCACAGCGAGCTACAATGGCCAAACAAACGCAATCAAAATCAAAGTACATCGATGAGGTGCAATTCTGTTACTTAAAGGCCAAAATTGTTTTTGTCGCGAAAAGCCCTCTCCTAAAATGGGAGCTGGCAAACTCGGCATGTGCTTCCGTTGTAACTATTCACAGGTTCTTTACATTCTCCTCATTTGCTGCGTATTACACCGTTTCTTAGGTACTACGGGTTGCTGCTGCTGATAAAAACTTTGATTGCCACCTGTGAAAGGCCTTCGACTCAGACGCACCCTATTCTTACAGAGATATACACACATGTTTCGCTTTGGCAAACGAGCATCCATGTCAATTTGCGATTGCATCTGCCTTGCATGGAGAGCATTTCTCTCTCGCAGAGTATACGCCTTACACACTGGTCCGCCCGCTGCTCGCCGCCTGGCTCATGATAAAGTTCTTGAGCGGCCGCATGGCGTCTATGGCGCGCAGGCCGAGCGACCGCAGCGGAACCAGCGGACCAGACTCGATGGCGTAGATCTTGTGCAGCTTGTCGCACACGCCCATGAGCACGTGGTTGGCCACATAGCGCTCGGACGGGTACGGCTCGAGAGACGTGCGCACGCCCAGGTCCTGGCCGTGTGCGACGGCGTAGGCAACCGTGCGCGCCAGGCTCTCGGCGTCGCCCTGGCCCTGGTTCAGGCCCTGCCCCGCGAGCGGGTGCACGGTATGGGCGGCGTCGCCGACGAGCGCCACGCGCTCGCCAATGTAGGTATCGGCGTGGCGCAGCTTGAGTGGGAAGGAGGCGACGCTGCCGGGCTGGACGCCGACCATTGTCGCCGGCAGGCGCTCAGCGTCGTCGGTTGCCGTCCAGGTCCCCGTCGCCTCGGTTTGCAGCCGCCAGGCCACCTCGTCGCGCTGCCCGCCTTCCGTCAGCCCATGCATGTATGTCAGGTCGACGGGCCGCAGACGGAACGCGGCGTTGACCATGGCCACAAAGTCCTCCGGTGCCAGTGACTTGAGCAAGGCGGCACGCTCCGGCGTGGTCGACCACACGAGCGTGGCAAAGCGTCCCGGGAGCGGCAACAACGCAACGGGTCCAGTGGGCAGGAAGCGCTGGTATGCCGTCTTGTAGGCATCGCCCGACAGGCTGCCGGCACCCTCCTCGAGCAGCATCGTGGCCACCACGCCGTGGCGCTCGTAGTCCCAGCCGCGCGCCTCAATGTCGGCAAATGCTCGCACAGGGCTGTTGGCGCCGTCGGCGCCGACCAGAAGGCGGGCAAGAAGCGTCTTGCTCTTCTTTGGGTCCGCTCCCTGGCCCGCCAGCTGGACGGCAGGCCACTGGGACAGGTCCATGCCGTTCTGGTCCTCTGGGCCAAAGCCAATGCTGTCCACCCGCGAACCATCAAAGACATCCACCCCGCCTAGCTCGTCGAGCCGCCGCAGCAGGCCCGCCGTCAGGTTGTTGTTTTCCACCATGTAGGCAATTGTCGACCCGGTGTCTGGGCTCTGGCTCTGGACCATGCCGGGCGGCCAGTCAAAGGCAATGCGCGCGCCCGTCACACCGTCCCAGACCTGCATTTCCTGGTAGCCTTGGACACGGTCGCGATGCAGGTGCGGCCAGGCACCGATGCTGTTGAGAAAACGGGCTGAGGCGGGCGTCAACGAGCTGCAGCGGTTGGCAAATTGGTCGGACGTCGGGGCGTAGGAGCGCGTGCGGCCGAGATCCTGGGCTTCGATGAGGGCAAGACGGAGTCCAGCCGTGACAGGGTTGGCGCCTAGACGTGTTAGATGTAGATGCACGAAACGGAGGAAGGGTAGAATTATAGGCACGAACGCAACGCAGTCAGGAGACTCAGTCCCGCTGGCCCGCCGCCAACGCAGACGATGTCGTAGATATCATGGGACGAAGCTGGTGATGATGCCGTCGACTGCCAACGACGGCGCTGATGATGCTGGACCTGCTGCTGGACGCGCTGTTCGAACCGCCGCGTGCAGCTGGTGCACACAAAACGTGCGCTCATGCTGAGGCTGAGCATTTTAAAGGGCAATTGATGTATTTTCGCACGACGGCGGCGTCGAGGGTGGAAGCTGGACGAGACACGTTGTGTTAGGAGTGCTGCAGCTGGAACGGAAAAACAGCCGATGATGCACTTGGTGGAGCTGTACAAAAAGTGGAGCTATTTCCCAAGACAAAAGTGCTTTTTCGCGATGACTGCATCCGAGGGATCACGTCGTATATGTTTCGAGCACAGCATCCCGATATGTTTTACTTGAAAGGAAAACTTTGTTTTTCTGCTTTCACATTCGTTTATTTGGTAGCAGTATAATATACAACAGTCTTGGGTGCGAACACTATCTTTATCCAACACCGCCAATGACGGCCCTCGCAATTGTGAAAGCCCAAACACAATCAATTATGAAAGCAAAGGTGACACTACCCACAATTAAAGGTTGTGAAAGAAATAACAAAATGAATGAAGAGCCTGAGCAAAAGCAAAATTAAGCAGGGTACATTGACCAGATGGCCAGATGAAAGCATGCCCGTTGGGGATATTACAGAACACCGAATAGAAACACCAAAGACTCCAAAAAAGCGCAGAGCAACCGATACCCTCGATACCGACAGGGCGGAGACAGGAAGTGGAAGGGGTAAAAAGGATGGTTATTTCCGTCTCCGCTCCCGACTTACGTCAACCACTTCGGTCGACGCCTGGCCACATATTTACGCCACGGCGACGGGGACAACTGTTTTGTGAAGTGTCAGTTACCTGTTGCAACGGTGTCATGGCTGGTCGACCGTTTGCTTCGCAGAAATCATTGTCAAGGGCTCCAAGGTCGCAAAAAGACGGGTTCGAACGTCGCAGAACAAAACGTCGCAGAAAGGTCCCAGCCACAAAATGGAGGGCGACAAAAGGTTTAAGCCTCACCGACTACACGCTCGACGTCGGCACCTTCGGCACCTGCGGCACCCTCGGCACCCGTGTCGTCGGCACCGATCGAGCCCGCGCCGTCGTGGCGGACGTTGCCGGTGATGTTGCCCTCGTGACCGTTGGTTTCGGCCTCGTCGTCGTTGATCTCGGGCTGCCACTCGCGCAGATCATCCTCGGCGTCGTTGAGGATCTGGCGGGCCTGGCCGCTGTACTGGTAGGCGGCGCGGGAGTCGCCCGGGACGACCGGGGTGTCGTCAAGCAGCTTGAGCAGGCGCTGGCCGTGGCGGGCGAGGATGATCTGCTTCTCGGCGCGCTCAATGGTGGCGGCAAACTCGGCTTCAAAGGCCTCCTTGAGCTTCTGGCGCGTCACATTGGTGAGCTGGGCCTCGGCGACCAGGTTCTCGGCCTCGGCGCGGACAAGCTCCTGCTCCAGAACCACCAGGCGGGGGCTGTCGGGCTCCTTGGTCTTGAGAAAGGCGATCTGGTCGGAGATCTTGGCCTTGTTATCGCGGCTGGGCTGGACGCTCTTCTCCGTGTTGCGGACGGCCTTGAGAACGGCGCGGCTGTCGTCCAGGGCGTGTGCGTACTGGTCCTCCTGCTCGCCAATCTCGGAGAGCACGACGCCAACCTTGTCGCTGATGTCCGACACGGCATCGTCGTGCGTCTGCTCGCCCCACTCCGACAGCTGGGTGGCAATCGACACGCGCTCGCGGCCGGCGGTCTCGTGGGCGCTGATCAAGGAGTTCTCGGACTTGATGAGACGGTAGAGACGCTTAGAGAGCTCGGGCTGAGACGTGCCGCGGAGCGACGAGAACGAAAAGCCGCCGCCGCCACGGTTTTTGTTGCTGTTGCCCTTGGAGCGAATGGAAAGACCACGGTTGTTCCTGGAGAGATGGAGAGACGCCGCAGTTAGTACAACATAGATCCGAGTGGGTAGACAGCGACGGAATATAAGCAACGGCGACGAAAAACAATGCATACTGCTCGCCGCTCGTTCGAGGGAGCCAGGCCAGAATGTTGGCCATGGCAGGCAGTGTCACTGCGTACAGTGTGCAAAACGACGAGGATGATAATTCAGTTGCTGTAGGGGGACGTGGGCGAGGAACGGGTTGACGGTGCAAAGGATGGCAGAGGGATTGATCAGGGGGCAAGGCACAAGACTCGAAACTCACATCATCTTGACGGTGGTTGTTGGAGCAAAGATACTGCTGAAGATGGCAATCACGGTTAGTGTTTCCAATGCTCTTTCCTCGGGGAAGTCAACAAGATATTGGAAAAAACAAAAACTAGCAAAAGGAACGAGCTGTAGTCACATCCACGACTTCCTTTACGATGTGCGCTTCTGCTGCTTCTTTAAGCCTGACCTCCTTCCATATGTGGTGGACAAGGAAGTCAGGCCGCGACGAAGCTTTGCACCTGC